TATATATATATATATATATATATATATATATATATATATATATATATATATATATATATATATATATATTCTTTTTCTTAAGTTAGTGAATGCTAATCATTTAGATGGGAACCAAAATGCCTTTTGACACTCGGGGAAGTTGCTAAGCTACATATGCAGCTCAGTCGTGAAACTGATCTTTGTGTTTGTTTCATGTAATGCATGTTTCATGTGTATAAGATATTTGTGTTCCCAGCTTCATGTGCTTCCAAGAACCGTGTCACTTGTTCTTCAAGAATACTCAAGCAATCAATGTTGGACTGCATGTTACTCCTTACTGTGCATGATGACACTGGCACAGAGGTAGGGGACAAAGGTTCTGCGACAATCTTTTCTTCTTGGTGCTTGATTGAATGATTGATCCTTGCTCAGCTTTCATCAGTCTTAAAATGTGTGATGCCTACTGCGGTACTTTAGAGACTTTTTATATTGCTTACATTAGAATGCTTTATTAAGAACAACTTTGGAGGATGTAGGATATACATAATATGATTATTCGGATTAATTATGTTCTTGCTTTACTTTTGCTTTATATGGAATCTTGTCCAAGAAGCAGAAAGATGTTGAAAAGCATCTCAGCACGCTGGTGGATTGGTAGATGTTAAGTTGTGCTGTATGTCACCATGTTGCCTCTGGATGTTTGGGGTTTCTGGCCAAGCTTGGACAGTGTGCTGGACCACAAAATCCAACACCATTCAAAAGATCTGGTGGGATAGGGATCGCAAGATGAAGGACATGAGATCGACAAGATCGATGGTTCGGATCATCTGGGTGCAGCAATTGTTCGTGCTCCGAAAGATGTGGTTGGATAGGGATGTCGAGATTAGGTTGCAAGATCGACAACACGGATGGTTGAGATCATTTGAGAGAGGAGTAGACCGTTTGGGAATGATGGAGAGATGATGAGCTGTAATAAACTTTGGTGAAGAAGTCCATCCCGATCTTAAGATATGGATATGTAATGCAGAGCGAGGAATCTTTTAAGACAATACTAAAAAGGGTTAAAAGTTTATTTTGTGATTTTGACCATGAATTAGTTAAGTATTTTATGGTTAACTTAAGTCTTTATGATTTATTTATATCTAAAATAATTTTTATATTTAAAAAAAGCATAATATATTTCTTTTCGTTAAGTCTAAATTAATATATATATTAGAGATACGTTGATTCACAATGAATCATTAATATAATAATATATAATTTAAGTTAAAAAAATATTAAGATTCATTTTAATCGTTATGATTTTTGTTATGGATCACTTAAACTCTTATAGCTTACTAGTATTTAAAATAATTTTTATATTTTTAAAAACGTAGCATATAATGATAAGTATAATTTAAGTTTAAAAAATAATTAAGATTCATCTTGTCGAAAAAGAGAAAGCGTCAGAGGCCGTAGCGACGGATGAAGGTGGAGAGGTAGAGGTAGGAGAGACCGGAGGCGGAAGTGAGGGAGAGTTGGACCAATACATTGTAGGTGTGGCGTAGGAGAGGACAAATTGGGAGGCGGTAAGGACGAAGATGCTAGGAGGATAAAGAGGGACTAGAAGACCACTACCTGCATAACGTCAGATTGGTTGATGCACATCCACTTGAGACAAAATCAAAAGCTCTTGAACTTGTCATCAACGTCGGAGAGGCTACATGCATACAATGCTTTGTCATGCAACAATGACTCAGTGTTGTTGTTGGTGGTCACCTTCGCGCGACAATGCATCCTCTCGCCATTGATGGTGATCTCAATTATTTTTTAACTTAAATTATATGTCATTATATTATTGATTTATTAAGAGTCAGCATGCCACGTAAGTAAACTCTAACGTTTGTTAACTCAAACTTGATGGGAGAGGCTTATATGTTATATTTTTAAAAGTATAAAAGTTATTTTAGACATGAATAAACTATAAGGGCTTAAGTGATCTATGACCAAAATCACAAGAGTTAAAATGGATCTTAATTTTTTTAAAACTCAAATTATACGTATCATTATATTAATAGTTTATTATGAGTTAATATATCACGTAAGTAGATTCTAACATTTATTAACTTAAACTTGACGAGAGAGACTTATATACCACATTTTGAAAAATATAAAGATTATTTTAGACACGAGTAAACCATAAAGACTTAAATGCTCCATGACTAAAATCATAGGGTTAAAATAAAACTTAATCATACTAAAAATAAACCGATACAATAAAAAAAATTTAAAATTAAAATTAAACATGGTTAGAAAAAAAGATAATATAAGAAGCAAGAATCCAAATATGAATTAGTCTTAAAGGTGAAATCTCATCATTTCAAACCTCTTTTAACATCATCGGTGGTATAAAAACACAACTGATCAAAATAAATTTGTATGTTATGAACTCACTCTCCGCCGTGAAAACTTTAACGTGATATTACCATTTACATTACATCCATTCACACAACATGATACACTCCTCGGCAGAAGCACCCTTTCACCTCATCCCATGCATGCGAATCTGAATGCCTAAAGCACTGCCAAATACAATTTTCCTTCTCTCTTCTCATCATTTGATATTTAAATACTTTCCTTATCTCGATATGGTTCACACGAATGCCCGAGCAAATTCATCCTCCGTTGGGTAGTAAAACATCCACAATGACTCGCCTCACAACATCGATTTGTTCCCACGCGTACACGAATCGCTCTCAGACATTAATGGCAATGAAGAGACCCAAAACAGAGCCGAAATGGTTAAAAGGTGAACAGGAAGAAGCAAGAAACAGAGACCGCCAAAAAGACATAAAGAAAGAAAAGAACAAGGAAAATAAAAGAGTAGGAAGAAAACTGCTGCCTTTTATCTCTCGTTGGTCTCCGCTGCTTCCGAGCTGTCGGAGAAGGCGATGGTGGAGACGTTGGAAATGGCGCCGGCGACGGCGGGGGAGGCGTGCTTCGCGGACGAGGTCCTCCTCCTTGAGTTACCCTCTGACCCTTACCATCCGTCCGTCGCCGAGTTGAAGCATCAGGCCCAAATTTTGCAGGAGTTCTTTGAGCCATCCGTCGAAGGGCTTCCAGTTTGGCACCGACCTCCCGAAAAATCTGATTTTTATGCTTGGAAGATGATAAAAATCTGATTTTTTTTCTTTCTTTTTCTCTTGCGTTTGGTGGCACCTTTCTAGGGCTTGCCGACCGAGGGGAAAGGCGGAGGAGACGAGGAGGAAGAGGAGCTCGAGTGGCTCGCGAACAAGGACGCATTTCCGGCGCTGGAGACGTCGTTCGAGATGCCCTCCCGCCCGCGCACCGGCAGCGGAGGCAGCGAGGGCTGGGACGGCGCCACCGTAGGCGCGGTGGCAGAGCGCAAGAGTCCGGTCTCGGCCTTCTCCGCCGCGACTTCATTCTCCGCGCCGGTTCGACCGAGGAGCAAAGGGCGGAGGCCGCGCCGGAGGGTGCTGACCGGCCTCTCGCCCGAACCTCCCACCGTGGCAGTGGCGGGGAAGTCGACGGCCGTGGAGAGGCGGCGGTGCCGCCACTGCGAGGCGGAGGAGACGCCGCAGTGGCGGGCGGGGCCGGAAGGGCCCAAGACGCTGTGCAACGCGTGCGGCGTGAGGTATAAGTCCGGTCGCCTCGTGCCGGAGTACCGGCCAGCGAGCAGCCCCACGTTTTCCCCCGCCGATCACTCCAACTTCCACCGGCAGATCCTTGAAATGCGTCGCCAGAGGTCTACCCGCCAGCGGAGAAGTGCCGGGGCGCCACCGCCGGCCCCCCTCGTTAATTCTCCGGTGATGTAACCCACCGCTCTCTAGAAAAGACTAAATAGACAATAAATCTCTCTCTCTCTCTTAGAGAACTGTTTTTTCTTTTGCCTTTGAGGGAGGACTACATATTTTCCATATTTTAGCCATAGAAAATGTTAGCTTTACTTAATTGGTACTCATTTATTTATTTATTTAGCGAGTTTTAAGGCTTATTATAAGTCACAAAAATAAAAAGAAAATCCAATTGGGTTTTTATTTTTAGTTACGTCATATGAATTTTTAGAGAAAAAAATACAACT